GTGTGGGTGATGTGGATGCACGGTGAGCAGGAGCAGCTGGACACTCAGAGAGGTGACATCCTGCCCAATGGTGATGGGACGTGGTATCTCCAAGCAACCCTGGATGTGGCAGCTGAAGAGGTGGCTGGCCTGGCCTGTAGGGTGAAGCACAGCAGCCTAGGAGGGCAGGACCTCGTCCTCTACTGGGGGGGAAAGAGTGGGACCCAGGCTGGAGATGGGGGGAGGTGGTCTGCTATAGCAGAGCTTGAGGACAGCTAAAAAATTGGGAAGTTAGGGATTTGGGATCAAAAGAAGACAAATATTTTAATCCAAGGAATGGAAGAATTAAATATGAGGGATCTGTAGATGCAGAAAGATGAAGGATAGAAGAAGGATTCCTCTCTGAAAAGGGATATGAATAAAATAGGAGGAATGATTGGTGCAGTAGAAACTGAAAAAAAAATAGTTAATACAGCAAACAGGGAGTGTGAGGGGGACAGGGAATGGATTGGAAACAACGTCCTGGTGTCCACTTGAATCTGCAGCACCTCCTAGAGCCCTGGGCTGGATTCTGTCGGCTGTGACAGTGGCCCTGGCTCTTCTGACAGGTCTTGGATTTTGGTTTAGGAAACGCTGGTGAGTTTTGTATCCATCTGTTCTGTTTGTCCCTCCTCCCCAATGCTCTTCCCTTCTTTTTTGACTTTTTCCTCACTTTCCTTCTCCTCTCAGCCCCATTCCCATTTTCTGCTCAGTTCTCACCTCCACCTCATGAAGGTCTGTTATTTCTCTGTTCTCATTTGGTTCACTTAGGACACACTGTGAAGCTCCCAGCAGTACTGTCCCTTTGAATTGAGGACCCAGCTACCTAGAGGCCCAGTCTACACCTGGACACCACGTGGTGATGACATCACTTCAACTGTCCTTGTGAAGCCTCTATAATTTATCTGGTTCATGATCAGTTACCAATATATGCTCAATGTAATCTTGCAGGATGTGTGTTCTGACCTGGCTTCTGTGAATTTACCTCTGAATGAAATAATATCCTAGCAAGCTCCATCTGGTTAGATATAATGGATCATCAGATGAATTTCAGGTGTCACTCCTCCGGGGGTCCTTCCTGGATCCACAGTGGGGAGCCATCTCTCCTCCATCTGTGCATCCCCACCTGTCAACTGTACCCCTCACTGTCCACTTCTGAGGCAGTTGTGAAGCTTTGTTTCTTCCTTCAGTTTTGAAACATAGAGAGCAAAGCACGTGCTTTTGAAGTATCTGTATCCCTGGTGAAGTATCTGGAATAAAAACCTGTGTTGAATTAATGTAAGGTTCTCAGGGGTTTTTTTGTTGTTGTTGTTGTTATTGTTGTTAAATTCTCTGCCTTTGTGTCACCTGTGTTGTAGTTGCGACATTTCATGCCCGACTTCAAGTCTTGCTTGGCCAAGGGATTTTATGCTTTTCTAATTCTACAATTTTTTTCTCTGAGCCTCTGACAGTAAATACAATGTTGCCTCTTACTGATTCTGTTATTCAATTAGGGAAGTATTAGAGTGAAAGTATTGTTGCAAGTGCTCTAAATTGAAAGATCAGGGAAGGATGAAGGTCTTCCATATCCTGTGTGGTTTATGGTCAAACAGCAGATTTATTACAATGGAGTTTGGTAGAAATGTAGACTCTGTGGCCTGAGTTATAATTTCATTTTAACAGAATCATTAGAAGATGGATTGATGCATTGAAAGTTGAAAGGCACCTCATGGTGGTGATACCTGAAATATGGCCCAAGGGCATCACTGAAGAGAGAATAAAAAGTGAGGAGTCAAAATGATGCTCTTCAGGGATGAAGTAGGTGCAGGTGAGTAAGGTGCATTCACAGCAGTTTTGTTCTCTACAGTTGCTCCTGCAAACACTGTTAGTGAGCACTGAGCCATGCTCCTAGGGAGAATAGAGGGTTAGGTTCCTTTGAGTTTCTGTTCACAATATTTTTATTAACTGATGAATACATATCCTGGTTTTTGTGTATTTTTTGTTTAAAAATCTTACTTAATATATATTTACTACTGTAAACTGCATGATTATCTGAGAAGTGTTTAACAATTTCCTGACCCTGATTAATGTTGTCATAAATTTCTTTTTCTTTCAATCTTCCTACAATAATGTCTATCATATGTAAAAAAATAATCTTTTGTCATTTCAAGAAACCCCAAGTGTAGTTTATGTCATAGCTTTATCATAGCATTATAGATGTTACTTTACCAATTAGCTTCACCTACTAATCATCAAATTTCATCTTTCTTTTTCCAGTATATTTCATTGTTTATTCATTAACATAGACCTCTCAGTCAACAGCATTATAACACTGACAAGGCTTATCTAAAACACATAATTTTTCTGTAATACACATCAGAGCCTTTTCAGTTTAAAAGCATTAGCTAGCTTTTTAGAGATGTGTTTGGCATCATTTTATTTGGCAAAATCAGTAACAAAAAGAACCAAATTTGAAAAATGCGTCACTGGGCAGACCACACAAAAGATGCTCATCCTGCAGTGAGAAGTGAAATCTGAAGACAAAACATCACTTTTTTTTTTACTTTCATAGGAAATGTGTTCTTCATTTGACTCCCATTTTGTACCACTCTGTACATATCCATGAATGACTACAAAAGCACTCTGAGTACTTACTGCAGGGTTACAAATATCCACAGGAAGAGAAATTCAGAAGTCCTGACTAATGGGGATGTACTAATGACCTCAACTGGCAGTGAGTCAAGACCTCCATGAGCAGACTTCAATTACTTTAAAATTCATAAATTGATTCAACAAACAGTTTAGGCACCTACTGTACATTCACTAAGCAGCAGGTGCATATTGAGTTTAAAGTAATGGAAGGAAAAAAATCATCACTGTGTTCTGAGCTTGAAAATTTTGCCCAATTTGATTGTACAGTTTATTATTTTCATTGTTGCTTTCTTCGCTTCCTGGAAGAATTAGTTGAGATGAACTTGGGGAAAAGGACTTCGCCTTATTTCATTTAGGAAGCTGAGAAAATGGAACCCAGGGCCAGGGGAATATATAGAGAAACCAGGAACAGGGGACAGCACACCTAAGAAAATTCCCCGTGCATTTCCTCCAGAGACATTCACTGATGCATTCCCTTGTCCTTCCTTCCTCCATCACCCATCTAACTCTTACTCGTTGTATGAAGAATATATTTACTGAGAACTGAGAGTAGTTTCAAAGTACAGGACAACAACTGGAAAAAGAAGTTGTGATGAGAGAAGAGGAAAAGGTAAAAACATGGGAGGGGGAGAATAAACGCTGTGACAGCTGAAGTCTTTTTAATTGGATTGGACATGACTGGCTACTAACCATGTAGCTTCCAGTCCACTGTCTCACGTTTGCATGGCAGCAATGGGGTTTCAGTTGATGATCAGCACAAGACAATCACGAGGTCCCAATATGATAGGCTAAAGAAAACAGGTAATCTATAAATCAAGACAAACACCAGAGACCCATTTACATTTTCTCGAAGGGGTGAGGCAGTGTATGCACCTGTCCTAATGTGCATGGCTCAGTTCATGTGCTGCCCGATTTTCACATTTGATGGTGGGGGAAAGAGATGCTCTTTCTTGTTTTGGATGTTATCATCCTGGGTAGAATTTCCCCCAAGTCATTTTTCAGCATGTGAGAAACAAATCTAGGGATGAAATCATACAGACCAGAAGTTAGAGGAAACAAACTCACAGAAGAGTCCTGATCCACTGTAACCAAAGCTGCATGACCCTGGGTTTCTCAGTCCTATTGGCCAATATGCTTCCTTGAGGTTTCTCAGGTCATCAAGTTGGGTGTCCTCTTGGTGGAGACTGAAATCGTCCTGCTAGATGCACACAGACGTCAGGGGACTCAGCTGATCTCTACTTTTGGTCGCAACATCCTTTTACATCCTTCTTCCCACTTTCTTCCTGAAGTTGGCTATTTCTTAAAACATATCTCTTTTATTTTATTTTTAAAGATACAAGTCCCTGTCTTTTTCAACTTTTATACTGCTTTGGTTTTAACTGTGGCATGTGGATTGGCCCCTCTCTGGGACATTTCATGATTTTTTGTCAAACCACTGACCAGGAACAAAAGTGGTGGTTCTGCTCCTGGGGAAGTGAGTGATTTTGAAAAGGTTCCTTAATCTTTTCTTCAGTTATATTAAGGCATGATATATTCTGTCAGTGTTTTGAGGGATGAAAAGATAATTTTGCACAAGCATTAATAAGAAGATTAAAAATTTACAAAATAAACAAAGTATATGAATAACCCACTCAGAGATGAAAACCCCTAAAGATGAAAGTATATAAATGATACGCAAATGCACTAGTCATTAGAGAAGCGAGAATTAAAAGAAAGTGTTATTTTACATTACCAATTGGGAAAATCAGAAATCCAGAGAAACCCAGTGTACAAAGGAATGGGCAATAGTTGGACTCCTCCTGCATTAATGTGGTGAAGTGATTAGGGAGAGCTTGTGGCAGTGTCTTATCTAAGTTGTGCTTGAAATCCCACTTCTGAACATAATGTCTCCTCAATTCCATGAGGGAACATAGAATGATGTTTGTCACAACAATTTAATGGTAACGAGGTGTTATAAGTATACCTGATATGCTTACCCTGTGGTAAACATGTTACCAGTTTAGTGAAATGTGGTAGATGCAAACTGTAGAGTCCTGTGTAGAGGCCAGACACTGGCTAGACATAGAGTGATATGGGAAGGTCGTTAAGAGCACCCTATATGAAATGAATTATGCACGAAGCATTGTTTTCTAATTCTGTGTTACAATTCGAGTTTTACACAAAAGCAGCACATTTTAGATGACCATAGATACAGAAGGATGATACATTAATGAATTAAAATGTGGGGGAAAGGAAAAAACTGGGATAAAAAATCAAATAATTTCAATAGTTAAATATAAGAAGCACAACTTGGATGGGGGTTAGGAAAAGGAAAGTGTGGAATGAACCTGACACAATTTTCCTGTATACATATGTGAATACGCCGCAGTGAATCTCACCATCATGTACATCCACAAGACCGGAACCCAAATTAAAATAAGATATATTCCATGCTTATATAATTATATCAAAATGGATTTTACTGTCATGTATAACTAAAAAGAATCAATAAAAATGTGAGAAGGGCATTAGAGTGGATGATACTCATGAGGAAAATAATTAATTCAGGAAAATTATAATCAGTAGTTAAGATTCCAACTACAGAACACAATGCACAAAAATGTTGGAAAGTAATTATGCTCTGTAGGAAAGAGACTGAACTGGAATAACAAATTGTGCTAGGGATACTTTCTCAAGGAAAAATAATAAATGTATAGTGTCATATAAAATATTTCGATTTCTAAATACAGAATAAAGTACCTGCAACATCAAAGCTGTCTGGTTGGTAATGTCAGGGTTTTTACAAACATTATGAAAGACCATAAAGTAGATTAATTTTTATATTTCCCAATGGTGGCATTAGTGATTAAAACAAAGTTTAACATCCTTAAAACTTAAAAATGTGAAGGCTTAAGTCCTTGAACAGCTTACAACTACCAACTGGCTTACAAATCCATTATTCAATTTATAATAATAATAGTTCCAAAAATTACTTACAAAAATATGCATATAATATTAAAATTTATCAGTAATAATATCAGAATAGATTCCAAGGGAATATACTGCCAATAACATACAGAGAAAACTTAAAAAATGAGGCCTATGATACCTTATTCACTGGTTGCATGTGGGTCACAATTATTAGAGGACCACAGATGATTAAGACAGGCTCATTCACATATTCACAGAGTCTGGAAGAAACAG